CCTTTTTGTTCATACTGCGACTGGGAAATGACGCTCCACACCATTTTTCGGCGCTGCCAACTTAAAGGGAATGCACGTAGCCCATCATTCCCCCTCCAGCGATCAAATACGACCCCCTGTTATGGAGTCCCCATCGTACGGCGTGCCTTCAAGGCTACGCTCGCTTTCTGCCCGCCTACGCTTTCACAAGGGTCAACCAATTTGAAAAACGTCATATTGAGAGTACTCAGTCCAACCAAGAAAGAGGGTGAGAGCGGTGACTTAATAGAAACATCTTCACACACAGTGTCGCGAAAATCAAGTCTAAACATTTCTTACTTCATTATCTTAACCAGTACACCTCCAGTCCCGGTGGGTGTCAGTGTTACCTCATTAGTGAGGATGTGCAATGAAACGATTAAGCCCGGCATAACCTGAATGGCCACGGCTAGCTTCAGTCGTAGACCTGACCACATCTGAAATGATTGGGCTTCTGGGAAAAATGGCACTTGTGACAATAATATAATAACATGACATATTTCTTATTGGGCAGGGAGGGGGCTGAGTTACAGCATCACTTTTTCCTGGAAAAACGATACAACAACAACACACAACAGATTCAAGAATTCGTAGCAATAGTTTATAAAGAGATACAAACCTTCAGCGTAAATCCAGAGAGTGTGTGGTACCATATACTGATTGAACTTGAAAAAAAAACGTGTAAATCTCCAAAAATGCTGTACGCCATACGACCAACCAAACGCCTAACCATAGCCACAGGCCCTACTGTCCGTGCGCATTACAGGGACACAACGTTTGTCTACAGCCCCATTCGGGTTTCATGCGACCAGGCCCAGCGGAGTGTGTTGGTAGGATGTCAAAATCGAGTTCCAGAGAACAACAGCGTCATGTGGCGTATGTAAAGTGTAAGGTGTTTCACATATCGCATGATGGGTGGTGATATAGAGAGCAAGGTTTCACGACCTTCCATCGACATGGACTTCCGGTTGTAGAATGCACCAGTCGTCTGCGACTGATTTTACCCCTACAGCTTTGAATCGCGGTTGTAATTGTAGCTACCGCGCGTGACAGCGCGGTGACGCGCGTCATCGCGAATCCCTGACGCTGCCTAAGGCGCTTAGCTTCGGCATACGCACAGCGTCGTGATGCGTGGGATGATGGTGTCAGTACAACGCTCTCCCCCAAACTTCCTTACCTGGTACGAACCGCTTTCCCAGCGAGCGAGTACGACCGTCCACGGTGGGTTCTTCCAAGGAGCTGTACCCTAGTTCGGCTAAGGAGGGCATTTTGCACTTACGATCGAGTTCTTTCCACTGTTTCTTATACGGCACGGCCGCTCAACAGTTTAGCTCCTGCACATCTCACTTCAAAAGTTTAGCTCCTGCGCACATGTGTTTGGAGTGCTCTGGAACCATTTTACAGACTTTTTGTCTGGCTCCGCCCAGAGGGGCAGGCTCCGCCCACAACATGTGTGCCCCACATTTCTCAGTCAGCCTGCCCTCGCTGACCGTTGTTCAACTTTTTCCTCTCTGGAGTGCTTTGCAACCATTACAGACTTTTTGTCAGGCTCGCTTGCCGATATTCCTCGTTTTTCCGGTCTCTGTAGTGTTCTGGAACCGAGCTACAAACTTTTGAAATGAGTATCCTGCGGTTGAAGGCTAGCTCCGCCCACTGTGGGCGGTTTCAACATATTTCAGGAGCGCCCAACACTCACCAGATATTGCCCTTCTGCATCGAGTTTTTTGCGATTTCTGAACACTCTCGCAAACCGAGTTAATGTATTTTGTGGGAAGCACCGCCCATCGCAAGTACGCCCCGCCCATTTTGGGTGTGTCTCTCCCAGTTAGTCTGGCAACCCCTTGCTAACATTATTCCACTTTTCCCCATCTCTGGGCTGCTCCGGAAGCGAATTATGAACTTTTGTCCGCGGTACCGCCAACTTTCGGCGCATGCCCCCCACTGTGGGCGGGGCTTCGCATAGGTCAAGTGTGCTCCTTACTTCTTGTCCCATGCCCTCCCCACCTTGACCCGACCTCTCCAAGTCGTTCTTCAGGTCGAACCGAATTTCCGGACAGACAGAACAAACAGACAAACAAACAAACAAACAAACAAACAACGAAGCAAATCATATACAGTGGGTGATCACACATCTCATTTTGGTGAGACCAGCGGATTCTTGTCTCGTAAACGAGACCGCGCTATTCTGAAGCTTTACAGGGAATCAGAGGTGAAATATAGCTGATCACTATTAACGGGACCAGCGAAAAGCCACCTTGTAGCCGAACTGTGAACAGTTCTGCAGCTGAGGATGTACATTTTCGTATCGCATGCTATTTTCAGTGGTACATGCAAGTGATCTCGTACATGGGTTCTACCTTGTCGTGGTGTACGAGCTTGAAGCGGGATCGGAATACCCGTCAGGGTAGAGTTACGCCGGAACCCCATACTGATTCCCGTGACGAAAGAACCCAAAGTGCCCAAGCTCTTGGTGGGACGGCGCTCTCCTTGAGCGACAGGAACGCCCTAGCAAGGCTATCCTGTGGGACGAAAAATGCTACGACCACTTCTTACATTTGCCTTAGTCCCCTGCAGGCTGTCACTGCTCAGTCGTGTAGCGCTGGTTCAAGCACACAGCCAAAGGCTCATAATCTCAGGTTAAGCTACACACAAAAGAGAAGGACAAGAGCGAGTCATCTGATAACCTGCACTTACAACTGCAGGAGTATCAGTTCGGCCGCTCAGCTTTCGGCACTCATTGATGAAGCTCAACGGATCAAGTATCATGTAATCGGACTTAGCGAGACAAAGAGGAAGGAATCGTTAACATGCACGTGGACAGATGGAACGGCATTATACCTAGGAGCACGCAAGCACAATTCAACTTCAGGAGGTGTTGGATTCATCGTGTCACCAGACTTCTGCAAGCATGTACGAAGTGTCAAGTTCTACGGTCACCGTTTCGCATTACTCAGCGCCAGTATCTCCAAAGATATACACGTCGCCATTATACAAGTATACGCGCCCACAGCGGATTGCGAAGAAGAAGAGCACAACGACTTCTACGATCAACTCGAAGAGCTTATACACAGCCAGAAAGGCTATGTCGTAGTGATGGGCGATTTCAACGCCCGAGTCGGATCGCGAAAGGCTGGCGAATTATTCATAGGCCCTCATTCCGCTGAGCAGCGCAACGAAGCAGGAGAAAGGCTGGCAAATTTTTGCGAATCGCACCATCTCTTCCATGGCAACAGTCAGTTTCTCAAAGCGGCCTCAAAAAGATGGACCCACGTATCTCCAAACGGGCAGTACTTTCATGAAATCGACCATATACTGTGCAATAGAAGAGCCGCAACAGATGTCGCCGTCGTTCCGTCCTTCAACACGGGAAGCGACCATCGCCTTTTACGAGCGAGATTCCACTTTGATCGAGGCCTAATACGTACGATACGAGTGCGCTCAAGGCAAACATGCCCCCGGACAGTGTTGAATGCGGAATTAGTAGCAGGACTTGCGAGTATGGAACCATTCGAAATGATGGATGATATTGACGAAGATTATCAACGTCTCATAGAAACAGTAGAAAGGCTTGCACAGCGTTGTCGTGACGTAGCCCCGAACCACACCGCTCGTCGTATATCGTCTTCTACTCGTGCACTGCTCGAAAAACGGAGGAATATCGATCGTCAAGGAAATCATTTGGAGTACACGCTTCTATCCAGGATGTGCAGGCGACTTACATCGACGTGCTGCAGGAATGTTACACCGATTGTACTACCACGTTCCGCCCCTTTTTCCACGATGTGGTAGTTTCAATTAAGAAAGGTGTGCGGCAAGGTGATCCGATCTCACCCAACCTATTCTCCGCGTGTTTGGAATCCGTTATACGCCGTTGCGATTGGAGCAGATTTGGATTGAACATTGACGGTACTCTTCTTAATCACCTTCGCTTCGCCGATGACATTGTGCTTATTACTAGCTCGCCAGAGGAAGCGTCAGAGATGTTGGATCGTTTGGACCAAGAAGGAAGTCAGTACGGTTTGACGATGAACACATCAAAAACGAAAGTCATGCGGAAACCGATTCGCCGGAGGTGCGACCGTAACCTTAAAAGGGAGCCCAATCGAAGACGTCGAAAATTACGTGTACCTCGGGAGTGAGCTAAACATGAGCAATGACTTGGCCGGTGAGCTGAGGAGACGCTGCAAAGCTGGATGGGCAGCATTCAACTCAATAAAGAGCGTCGTGGAAGATACCAGAGACCTGAAGCTCCGTGCGGACCTCTTTAATACAACAGTGTTGCCTGCCCTAAGCTACGCAGGAGAAACTTGGGCCCTCACAAAAGCGCACGAAAAACGATTAAAGAGTGCCCAAACATCAATTGAGCGCCGCCTAGTAGGCCTGACGTTAAGCCGTCAACGAGAACTGAAACTTCACAACTCAGACGTCAGGGCCATGTCGAAGATCAAGGACATTGTACTCCACGTTGACGAAGCGAAACATCGATTTGCTGGCCACGTGATGAGGAGAAATGACGGGAGATGGAGCTCTGCGACGATACCCGCGTGATAAGAAACGACCACCGGGCCGCCCTCCTCTGCGATGGGCAGATTCTCTGGCCTATCGCAACAATGTCTATGATCAAATTTCTCTTAAGGTCTCTATGCACTGGACAAGCAAGGCTCAAGACAGAGATCAATGGAAAAGAAGTTGGGACCCGCGCAAGGTCAACCGCCGTGCTGAAGAACGGGTCGCCTAAGTAACCTAAGTAAGTAACATGCAAGTGATACCAGCGAGACAACGTTAAGAAGAAAATACAAGTGATATCGAGGCAATCAGTAGGAGCGGTTTTAAAAGGGATGTAGTGAGCCCATATGTGGCGTTTCTACCACTGGATGCTTTCTCCCATCGGTAGAGCGAGGTGGCCGGAGGCTGGCTCCGCCCCTTTCGAACACCGCCCCGACCGATTAATGTGATATCAACTATAATGCCTGCCCACCTGATCATATCGATAAGGAAAGAGAATCGCTGAGAGACGGTTGAGAGCCAATAGTGACGTCGAAATCGGTAGCATAGCACCTAGAAAATTGAGCATAAGTCTGGTTCTGGTAACTGGAGTCATCGTGGAACGGTACTCAGAGAGCTTACCTGTGGACCAAGCTATGATGAGGTAGACGTACGCGTATGGCAGGCCAAGGAAGGAATAAAAGCTCCCAGTCCATCCCCATCGCGGTAATACTGCTCCAAAATAGTTGTTGAGAAGGCCTACTGAAACGGCATTTCTGATGCTTAGTGTGTAGAAGTTCAGGATAAGGGTCTTACTGACAGGACATGCTGTCTATTGCCGCTTCCCTTACCAATGTCGATGATTCCTGTCGTTATACACAGTGTATAGAAGGAACTTGTGAGATTGGGGACCTTCTTTATTTGAGCACGAATCATGAAGTACACTATCATAATGTAGAAGGGCACCGTGATTATCCAGTATGCAAAGAAGATTTTTCCGAAAACGGACACAAATAGAGGACTGAGCTGGATCTCCTTGTCTTCCATCACTCTGAAACATGGAACCGAAATTCAACATATAAATACAATTCTAACCCAGGCGTCCGGGCAGTTGATTAGGCGTCAAAGGGTCGCAGACGCGGCTGCGGCGCGTCACGACCGCGGCGATCAGCTGTCCCAGCCTGTTTAGCCATTTTCTCCCAAATTTTCACTGTTTTTGGCTGCTTCTTCTTAGGGTTACTCGTCAAAGCGGAGGTGGTGCAGAAGGGACCACATCCCAGACCAAGTCCGAGGAGAGCTTCGTTGGTTCTCGGCTAAGCCAACGAAGGGACGGGACAAGGGGAAGGTTTGGCGCGGCGCCAGCCAGTTTTTCCAAGCGACAAGTGGTCCGGTGCGTCCAGAGGCGCGCCAAACGTAGCGTTACTAACACGAGGCCATACAGTATTCAGTAAGCCACTCAAATTCTAGATGGAAATGGAATGTGTGCCGGATTCTGAAAAGTGCTTTACAAGCAGTGGAAGCCATATCTTTCTTGCTATTAGGTTGTCCGGAAAGTTCTCAGCGTTTTGGGTGTTTCACTTTAAACGATCGTAACTTTTTTAATACTCATCGGATTTAATCGAAATAGGCACCATTCGAATCAGCACACTTTTGCCAATGTGACAGCAGTCGAGAAATCCCATCAAAGTAAAAAACTGGGTGGTCGAAAATTCACGAAATCCACGAAGGCTTTTTTGCCTGGTCCTGATTGATGAAGTATTTTCCAGCAAGGGAGTTCTGAAAATGTTAGAAAAGGTGATAGTCGATTGGCGAAAGGTCTGAAGAATATGGCGGTTGAGATAGAACTTCAACCCCCAATTCTTTCAAT